AGGGCCCTGCTGCACTCCTGCAGGAGCTGGGGCAATGACGCTTTCTAGCCCGGGGCTGGGCCCACCGAAAATGAAGGAGCTTTAGAAGAGACCGGAACACACCCCCACCCACCGCCGATGTGTGAGATCTGGCCCCTCACATGAATTTGCACCTCATTTATGGTGGGATGTTCAGGTCTCGTCTCCAAGGAGAGCGGCTGCAGGGCCGGGGCACTGGCAGGAGGTGGGCTGTGGCGGTGGCACGGGGCGCACTGTGCGTGCCGGGGCAGGACGCTTACGGAGCATCCGAAATCAGCCTCCTGGGAAAGGAGCTCATCGAGGATCGCACCACAGATCCCAAATGTTGGCTGCTGGCTAAATTAAGCTCCTGACCTAACACGCTGGATTTGCAGCCCTTCCAAGTACTCTTTTTGGAGAACAAGTCTCCAGATTTCAGTGGGGGGATGCTGCATGACCGTGCTGCTGCCGAGGCCCTGGCTCACCCTGGGAGGGTGGCCGCAGCCTCAGTGCTGGCCTTGTCAGATGACAGTCGCGTGGCGCGCTCCGGAGGGTTGAACGAGTCCTGCTGGGCGATTATTTTCCTTTCATAGTCTGAGGATGCCTTTGTGGATGTGAAAAGCCTTGAAATAAGGAGAGATCAGTGGATGGTGCGAACAGCCGTTGCTTTTTTGGGCTGGCTGCCTGCGGAGAGAAGGTTCTGCATGGCATCCGCATCTCGCTCCTTCCTGATAACGTTGGTTTTAGCCATTTAGCTTGACTTTTTGCTCAAAGGCAGCAAGAGGCTCCTGGGAGAATGTCCTAGATGGCATGACAGATGCTGGTGCCCTTCAGGGAGGATGTGCTGTGGGGCCAGCTTCTCACTGGAACTAAAAAAGCATGCAGGAGATGCTGTGTACGGGCTAATTAAGGCTGTTAATTGAAGTGCTCTGCCTTCTGATTGCCTGCTGAAGGGTATTTCTCTGTCCAAGCACACCCTGGTGAAGTGTTCAGGGCTCTCTTGCATCTCAAGCAGGGTCCAGGGTCTGCTTCTGGGTGGCAGAAGCAGGTTCCTGCCTGTTCTGGTGGCCAAGAGCTTCAAGTGTCCCCTCTCCCCCCACCTGCAGGTCCTAGTCCTGGGGAACAAGCGAGACCTGCCCGGTGCCTTGGATGAGAAGGAGCTCATTGAGAAGATGTAAGTGTGCCAGTGGCCCGGGCGGCCACAGTGGGGCTGTGACACAGTGTGGCCGTATCCCCACCAGCACAGTCACCCCGCTGTGCTCTACCAGTACTCCTTCCCCAGCCCGGGTGGCATTGTGGTGCCCTGGAGTGGGCTGGCAGAGCCGGGTGGCTGGGGACATCCCAGTGGAGGTGATGTCTCTACGCCTGTGGGGACTGGGAGGAGCTGGGAGCCACAGCCGCCAGTCCCAGGGCTGGGTCCCGCGTGCCACAGGGTGGCGTTGGGGACCGGCACAGCGCTCACTGGTGGCGCTGGGCTCCCGTGTGGGTGCTGCTCCCATCACCCTCACAGCTCTGCTGGGTGCCTGGTGCGGGCGCTGCTCCCCGGGCAGCCCTCGGTGCTTGGAGGTCGGATCCTGCTCCGGTGCAGGAGCCATCCAGGTACCTCTCCATGCCGGCACGTGGACTCCTCGCAGCCGATGCTGCCTCCTGCCCAACTCCATGGAGCCGGCGGCCTGGGACGATGCGCTGGCTCGCAGCATCTCTGCTCCCCCCTGGCCACCCCTCGGAGGTGTCCCCTGTCCCGTGCACACCTATGCAGCTCCGGTGCTGCCAGCCCTGTGCCGCTCCCAAACCTTCCCTGCCCTGGCTCGCCCCAGGCCTGTGCCGCCGAGGTGTAGGGAGGGAAGCTGCCTGATTTTTGTGGCCAGGGGCTCTGTGGGGTCAGGTCCCTCCTGCCCCATCACGTCCTGTGCCTGGCCATCAGTCTTGGGCAGGGTGCCCCGGTGTCCTCGCCTGACCTACATGCAGGTCCCTGAGAGCCTGGGGAGATGTTGCCCCTGCAAAGCATCCCCTGTCTCGGAGCTGGGGTTTACAGGGACCCTTCAAAAGGTTGTGCAGAGGTAGCTGACAAGCAGCCCCGCGGGGGGTTGCAGCCAGAGCTTGCTCCTTTCCTGCAGGAACCTCTCTGCCATCCAGGACCGAGAGATTTGTTGCTACTCCATCTCCTGCAAAGAAAAGGACAACATCGGTGAGTGCCGGCGGCGCCGGTGTGGGGCTTGGGTTGCGGGTCGGGAGGGGGGGCAGCCCACGCTTACGGGAGCAGCATGCCCAGGCCGATTGCCCAAGCACAGCAGGGGGTGACGGCTGGAGGGAGAGGCTGTAAGTGTCCACTTGCCTTCACAGACATCACCCTACAGTGGCTTATCCAGCACTCGAAGTCTAGGAGAAGCTGAGATCCCGTGGACTGCAGCTCAGATCGGGAAGATGCCATTGTACAAGCCCATGCCCCTTCTCTCTCCTGCTCTGTCCCTCCAGCTCTCTCTCTAGATGGGTATTTTTAGGGGACCCCAGACTCCCCTCGTATTGAGGTGGAGCCCTTGTTTTTATTGTAAAGAAAATGTCCGACCGCCCTCCTCTCCTCTCTCTGTCTCTTCCTCCCATTTTGGCACTGTTCTGTTGTTGTCTGTGTATACAGTATATATATATATGTATATATATTTTAATTTTTTAATTTAAGCGATAGCGCTGTTACTAAAATGGGCCCTGTGAGCAGTAGGAAGGCTGTGGGCTCCCTGAGGCCGGCCAAGGCTCAGTGCTGGGAGGAAGATGAGGGTGGTGGCAGAAGGCAGCCCCTTGGGCGTGGGGCTGTGCCAGGCTGCAGGCAGGTCCCCTCGGGCTCCCTCGTCCCTTACCCGGCTGTCCTGCCTGTACCCCTGGGCAGAGGGCACCCCGGGGGTGTCAGGAGCCTTGTCCTTCTTCGGCCTTCGGCCACATGGGCAGGGTTTGGGGGGCAGGCGATGCCGCTCTGCAGGCTCCTCACCCTTCCAGGGGGACAGGGAT